TACCCTTCTAGGACAAGTCAGGGAAGACATTGAATCACATGGAAAAGATAAGTGGGTCTTGGTGGTCCATGAACTCAATGTGAGTCAACAGTGGGATAACAGCTATGTTGCTAAAACAAGGGTGGGCATAATCCTGTGTTTGAGCTGATGTTATGGATACCTGGGGTCTTATGAGCATTTGGTACCACATTTTCAGGAGACATACCAGGGAGCTCCCAGAGAAGGAGAATTAGGACAATGATAGAATGGTTTCCAAACCATTCTTTGTGAGGAAGTTTGAATATCATTCCAGGGAAGAAAGAAAACAGGGATGGGTGTCCTCAAATGTGGAAGAGACCTGGACTCTAGGCTGATGCAGGATCAATAGATGGATGTTATAAGAAAGTAGAATTTGGATTTTGTGCCAGTCCTGGCCTGCCTGTTCTCAGATCCATTCCTTGCCATTTCCCTGCTCTGTATGGAAGAAGTGCTGATCCCTGCAGTCTGTGTGTGCCAGGGATATTCTCTCCAATTGTCTATCCCTCAGATATTGGCACCTCCTCCATGGCTGCATCTCCTCCGTGGCTCTTCCAGCTCCTACCAGACGGACTCACTGTGGTTCCAGCTTCCATCAGGTGACCACAGTCTCTGGGCTCCAAACGGCACCTCCTCCCCTTTGTCCCTCTAGCCCATGGCAGTGGCTTCCTGCTGTTGCTAATATCTACCTTGCTTCACTGTCCTCTGTTTGGCTTCTCAGCTCTTCAGTCACCTCTGTGGCCAATTCCCAGCATTACTCCTGGAAACATAAAATAGTTTCCACTTTCCTAGTTGGGCCTTATGAGTATAGACACACAGAAAGCAGAAAGACTATTCTAATGATTACAGGTGGATGACCACATTGTGGGAACCTGGAGTCCATGATCTTTAGGGTTCCTTTAGAAGTTGGAGCACAGAGGGGAAATGACATGCTCAGATCCCAGAAGGGTCAGAGTTGGGACTGGAACTCGAGGCTCCTGACCCCTAGACTAGCACTCTTTTTTTGATGTTAGCTCTCGCCTCCTCTGCAAATATCTTTATTAACCATCCACCCATAGTTTCTGTTAATCACTCTTCTGATCTATGGGAGGGAAAATTGAGTCTCCTAAAGTCTTTTTTTTTCCTTTTAATTCTCTTGTAATTATGGGACAACCCAGTTCAATAATGCTTACTCGCTAATTATTTTACAGAACAAATACTGCTTGCCAAGTGTTGAGTGGAACCTTTTTTCCCCCCTCTATTCGAAGCATTTTTACTTAGAAAAGCTAAATACATGTTCCAATATAAGAGGTTCCATTTATGCAAGTTTGTGATTTTGAGGGCTATAGAAGAGGAAGGGGATGTTAAAGGTCATAAATCCCATTACTTTAGATATAAAGAGACATGTCCAGGAAGATGGAGTGACTTGCCCAAAGTTAGCGGCAGAAGTGGGACTAGAACCCAGGTCTCCGGCCCTAGTTCAGGGCACTCATCATAGTACTATGCTCATTTATGGGCTGTTTACTATTCCTTACTACATCTGGTTTTCAATCTGCTTCTAACTTCTGCAAATCTCTCTCCTCAATACTGATATTTCCCCTTTTATCATCTCTTGCACACTAGTGTTCTAGTAGCCCATATCCACCTGGAATGGAATTATTAAAAGCAGGACTTGACCAACCCCTCTTTAATTTCTTCATCTCATCAATGACTTTTTCCCCTTTCCCTTCCCTTTCTTTCCCTCCCTTCCCTTCCCTCCCACTTCCCATCCCTCCCCTCTTCCTCTCTACTTTGTCCCCTCCCCTTCTTCCCCTCCTATTCTGCTTCTTCTCGCCCCTCTCCTCCCCTTCTTCCCTCCTTCTTCCCCCTCCCATCCATCTCTTCCCCTTCCTCCTCCCTCCCCTCTGTTCCCTTCCTCCCTCCCCTCCCCTCTCCTCTTCTGGATTTTTAAATTTTCCAGTTCTCTTTCCTCTCTAGCCAACATTTTCTTTCCCACGGAGTCTTCTCTTAGCATTGTTCTTTAATTGACTCCTCCCTTCTGTGTTCAAAGCCCATCTGCCTGGTTGAAGCCATCAATACTTTTAAGGGAGAAATCTTTCAAGTACTGGATCTGATTCCTGGTTGCCATAAACCTTTGATCATTCTCTGAGGAAAGCCATAAATTAATGTCATCCCTTAGAAGGACCCCTGGGCCTACCTCTATTACTTCCCTGGCCTCTTGTCTGTGGATGTGATCATCTTAACATCTCAGACAGTATGGCATAGGTGGGAAATCCTCCCATAGCCAAAAATATCAAATTTATTTTAGTTCAAACCATTACCACATATCATCCCATGGTAGTTTTCAGTGTTTCAACAACTTTCTTTTTTGGCTGTCAGTTTTAGCTGGATTTTAGATCTTTCCAAATTTGTATTATCTAGACATTAACAAGCGGTTAGCTTTATTGAAGCTCTTTCAGGATAACATCATTACAATATTTGAGTCACAGTGACCTTGTTCAAAAGCACTAATCCTCCCCCCAAACAGACACATTGATACCATATTTCCAGTTGGCTTAATGGTATTCCAAATTCTGTGTTACTTTTTTCCAGTGTGGATTGTCAAGTCAGATCATTGTCAAGAATCCAGGAACTCAGTTCACCCTTCACATTCGTATAATTCATACTTTCATTTCTTTTGATGAAGTTGATGAGTCCAAGGATCAAGTATTAGGTTTCTGTCCCGGGAAACAAGTGAAGGGGATACCTATCACCTTCCGTAGTGCAGGACATTGCTGCAAGAGTTAATAGGAATGGGGAGTGGCACACAGGGGCGAGGTCAACTCTGGACTCTGGATCCTAGCCCCATCATTCTCTCCCTTCCCAGATACAGAGTAGAGGGTGGGGTCACTGCAACGTGGACTCTCAGTTCCAAATAATCACATCTTTCCAAAGTCTCCATCAGCACCCAAGGTGCCAACAGCTCCCAGTTCCTCAGGCTCAGAGTCTTCAAATTAGTTCTCTGATTTTTGTTTTTCTTTCACTTTGGCACCCATAGTCCTATCAAATTCTAATGCTATTTCTCCATAGGTCTCTCTCTCCTTTTTTAAAAGTTTATTTATTTATTTTGAGAGAGAGTGCGCACGCATGAGCGAGAGGGACAGAGAGAGAGAGAGAGAGAGAGAGAGGGAAAGAGAATTATAAGCAGGCTCTATGCTGTAAGTTTTTAAAAAAAATTTCAATATTTATTTATTTTTGAGAGAGAGAGAGAGACAGAGCATGAGCGGGGGAGGGGCAGAGAGAGGGAGACACATATTCCGAAGCAGGCTCCACGCTCTGAGCCATCAGCACAGAGCCCGACACAGGGCTCAAACCCACGAACTGTGAGATCATGACCTGAGCTGAAATCAAGAGTCCCGTGCTTAACCATCTGAGCCACCCAGGCGCCCCTCTCCACAGGTCTCTTGATTTTATCTTTTCCTTTCCAAATCTGCAGTTTCCCTCCTCCCAGCTCTTCACCTGTGTCTTTGGTTGCTGCAACAACATTTTCCCCGGCCTTGCCCAAATCCCACTACACCCAAGCCAGAGCTCAAGCTCTGTCTTTTTCATCTGAGAACTGTGTCTTTACTATCTTACTCTGCTCCCCATGCACAGAAGAGCCTTGAATACATGTCAAAACAAAGAACTAGCCAGAGACTACGCAGTGATGGGTTTGTTCCATGCCCACCCCATTTCAGCCTCTCTCTGCTTCTTTCTTGCCCCACACTTAATTTCTCTGGCTCTGTTTGCTGCAGCCCTATCCCTGTCATGTGGGTTCCTTGCTCCTCTTCTCCCCAGCATAAAGCCTGTCTCCTTCCTGACAGGCAGGGTGCTTTGCTGTGATGGCTGGAAGTTTTGTCTCTCTGGCTTGGCCTGGGTTCCTTCTCCCTGGAATTATCCTCACAGGAACTTGAGGCCAGCATGCCCTGGTTTTATTGGAACCCACTTCTTCTTCTTGGCTTTTCCCCTGGACCACTAACTGTTGGGTAATTTCTCCCGTGGTGGAGTGAAGACACCTGGATTTTTGTCCTGGCTGTTCATGACCTTGATATGTGACTTTAAATAAGGGATGTTTATCCCAGCCCTCTTCACAGGCCAGTTCTGAGGACCTTCAGCTTGCCATCTCACGTGTCTTGAACATGCCCCTCACTTTCCTGTCATGCCTGTGCCTGTCCTGACCAACTCCCTTCCACTGCCAAGATGAGGGAGGGGGTGAGTCTTGTTTGTAACCTGGCATCCAGCGTACCCTGGACCCTGCATGTCCAGTGACCCACAGTTTCTCCTTGGCTTTGCCCCACAGTTCATGTATACTTGAACCCATGTGCTTGGTTCTACCTCAGTTTCCCCACTTGCACTTATGTGTCCTTCTTCAGACTGTAGCCCCACCCTGGACACTGACTCTTTTGGAGGTCTGGCTGTATGCTATCATTTGAGGTAATACAAACAAGTCAGTTTTCCTCTCCAGAGAGTTTGCCTAATACACACTGCAATTTGTGGACTCTTACTTTACTTCAAAAATTAGTTTGATTGGATATTTTTGAGTGGTTTAAAAAATTTCTCTTAAACAACCAGTTGTCTTACAGTGCATTTTAAGAATATAACCAAGAACCAGGGGAAGTTAGACAGTAAAGGCTCCTGGGCTATCACAGAAGTTATCTATTACTCGAAGGAGGGTCCCTTAGGCTCTCAGTCATAGTCTAGTTTTCCTTCTTTACCCTGAATTTCTGTCAGGGGTGAGGATGAGAGGGAAGGGTGGAGGCCCCCTCTGTGCAGCTCCAGAGCCACAGAGGAGGAGTTTCTGTCCTGCACATTCACCTCCCCTACGTCCTGGCAGCTTCCTACTGCCAAAACCCTCAGGCTTCTGGAAGTGCCAGGGAGCTAAGGGGAGCAGCCTTTAAAGAATGACAGACAGGATTTGGGGATAAAATCTAGGTTCCTTCCCCCTGTGTGGGACAGCTTTGCGCTGTGTTGTGGAAGTCTCAGTGCCTTGAGCCCCAGCTGCTCCTGGAGGTAAGTAAATTGCACCTGTATGTAATGCACCTACCTGTCTGGGCTGCCTCCCCTTTCCTTTGTCACTCCCAGCCCCCTACTGGTGCTTCCTGGGATCACCTCCCAAACAAACAACTTGCCCTCCAATCCTTATCTCAGGGTCTGCATCTAAGGGAACCTGTCTTCATCATGCCACAAGAACAGAAAGCTGAGAAATGATGGAAAGAGAAAGCAGAAGACCTCTGAGAAAGCAGGCCCAGGAACTAAGGTATTTTGGGGCCCGGGGTCATTCAGCAGGGATCACTGGGACTTGAGGTTATGTGGCATAATGACTATACACATAGTGGTGATCTAGGGATAGTGTGTTCTCTAGAGGAGGCTCGGGAAGAAGTGCATTTTAGAAAGGTTTCTGCAGTTTGAGTGTCTTAGACACCCCTTTCCCCGATAGCCAGGATTTATTGGGTTTTCAGTTGGGCTAAAATCATGGCCTTCAAGCTTCAAAGCTCCTGGTTCCAAAAGTTTGATTCTTTAAGATTTTTATTCTTTATGTTTTTCATGGTCCTTGATTTCATCCCTTCCCATATCCCCTGTTTGCATAATGGAGTTCTTTTTTCAAAGTCTGCCTTCCCATGGAAGCCCCTTTTGCCCCTTGGCCATTTCAATGGCTCTTCTTGTGCATGATTATCTCCTTCTTGGGGTAAAGGGATCAGTTCTGCATTTGGTATTCCAAGGACCAATGCACTGAGATTTGTACTTCTGTTTTGTTTCCAGTCCAAATTGATTATTTTTTTCAGTTTTCATCCAGATGTTTGATATCATGTAAACACAGCTTGAAAGTGTGCCTGAACTGCTTACAGATGTACACCCGTGAAATCCTTTCCAAATTATATATAATGATGCTCTGGGTCTATTTATATCTATGTCATAGTCTCTGGCTTGAGTTTTAGCTGTAAGACTGAGTTGGAAAGAAAGTGAAAAATTCATGTGTGGGGTGATGTGTCTACTTGATTAAAGACTCCAGATATTGGGAAATATTCAGGAATTGGTGTCATTTTCTACTGAATGCTGGCATGTCTGTAATTGTGGTGTTATGGACTGAATGTGTTCAATTCATACATTGAAGCCCTAACCCCAATGTGATGGTATTTGGAGATGGAGCCTTTGGGAGTTAATTAGGATTATATGAGGTCATGAGGGTGGAGCCCTTATGACAGAATTAGTGCCCTTATAAGAAGAGATATAAGAGAGGTCCTCCCCATCTCCCTGTCCCCCATATTCATGCTCACACAAAGAAAAGGTCATGTGAGCACACAGTGAGAAGGTAGCCATCTGTAACCAGTGAGGGGAAAGCTCTCACCAGAATCTGACTGTTCTGGTATCCTGATCTCAGACTTCCAGCCTTTAGAACTGTGAGAAGCACCAGTCTATGGTACTTTGTTAAGGCAGCCTGAGTAGAATGATGCACATGGAGACCCAGATCTGTTGATACATTTAGCATATTGTCACTGTGACTGTCAAACCTGCAGTATACCCCTTAGACTAAGCCAAGACCTCCTCACCTGGTGTTTGGCACCAGAAAGATACCTTTAAGCCTTTTATATCTACTTTACATCTACTCAATTCTTACCAAAAGCTTGGTTGCAGGATATAGTGCTTATGGGTGGTGATATAGCAGATTGTATTTTCCAAAGATGGCAGCAACGGTGTTTCCCATACATATGCTTTTCTACAACATAACCTTGACAGGCCTCCTATTAAGAAGTTGTTCCCTGCCCTGTTTGTTGTTGTTGTTCCCTGCCCAACTTCCTGGCCCACAAAATTATAAACAAGATAAAATGGTAGTTGTGAGCTTCTAAGTTTTGGGGCAGTATGTTATGCATACCTAGTAACTGGGACAGATGTACATTTTATTGATTACTGTGAATAAAATTCTACCCCTGGATCTTTTGAGCAGCCCTCAGGTGTGGTGCCATGTTTTGTACCAACAGACAGGATCAGAGACAGCTATTCTGTGGAGATAGTGTTGAGGATGGGACAGAGTTCACTTAGAGCTTAGTGCAGGAATAATTATAACACCTGGGAGCAGGTTGTATCTAACAAACACTGTGACTCTTATCATTGCTCAGCATTCCCTCTTTGCTTTGGCTTCTAGGAAGCTCAGGTCAATCTTGTGACCAACTTATAACAACTACTCTTCCCTCTTTGTATCCTCCTATATTTATATTTGTAAGCCTCCTCAAAATACTTTTGGAGCAAGGTGGGGTATAAATAAATTAATGGGAGAACAAATGTCCCTCAAATCGCTCTAGTATTTGAGAGTGTTCTTAGACTGAGTTGGTTCCAACATTGCTTTACTATAGCTAAAAACCAAAATATTCTACATTCTCTAAAATAAAATACAAGAAACTAAAAGGGGCAGTCTAGACCAGAATTTATTTTGAGAAAGGGAGAGAGAGTACAAGCAGGTGAGGGGCAGAAAGAGAGGGAGAGAGAATCCCAAGCAGACTTTGCACTGTCATTGCAGAGCCTGACATGGGGCTCAATCTCACAAGCCCATGAGATCATGACCTGAGCCAAAATCAAGAGTCAGATGCTTAACCAACTGAGCCACCCAGACATCCCTAGACCAGAATTTAAAAGGAATAATTATTCACTGCAAAGTAATATTATTTAGTAAGCAAAATAATGAGGGGCTTAGGGAAGGTAATGTTTATTGAGCACTCCCAGGCGTGTTATAGATCCTTTATGTACCCAATTTTACTTAATCATATTTAATCCTGATGAAACAACCACGTGGGCATAAAGTTGTCTTATTTTACAAATGAAGAAGCTGAGGCTCAGAGAGGTTAATAAGGTGTCCAGGGTCACTCAGCTAACTGGGAGACCTGAGATTCAAACTCCATTCACTTTCCAGTTATGGTGGGTACTGATAACAACTTTGAGGCCCACATAATTTAGAATACTTCTCCAGGCATAGATCAAAACCCATCCAAGTGAACACTGTGCAGGTACATCTCTTTCCTGGGAGTGGGATTTTGTTGTAACTGGTCCTGGCTGAGGAGGGATTTGGTGCCCTGGGATGCAGCAGGCATGGAAAGCGAGCTGCAGGAGTGAGAGCAGTGACCCATCTACAAGGGACGAGCCTCTTACACAATCATCACTTTCTGAACTAACACTTTCAGAATGGGGTGTTTTGTTTTCTTTTGCCTGTTCCATATTATCATCACCATGCCCCACCCTCCCCTGGAAAATATCATTGCTTCTTCAAGAAGGCTCTTGGGAAAACCTCTCAGATGTCGGCCATGGCTGTGGGTGAGTTTTCTGTCACACTCACCAATGTGACAGTCTCAGTCTGCTTATTTCTGGGCACTGTCACAGAGAGACATTTGCCACTTCTTCCCACATATGGACAGGAACTAGAGAAATGTGTTTTTGGTATTGAAATAATTCTTCAGCCATGAGCAGATTGGGCAAGCATAATGACCATGGGCTTCTGAGTGGGACTTGAACATTCTTGCACTTTGGGTCATGAATTGTTCACAGTAATGATACCCTGCTCGCTGTGTCCTCTGCCAGACATTGATTTTAAGCACCACGGAGAAAAAGCCCTGACCTGTGGGCAAGAATGCTATCCAAGCTCTAGCCACAAGCCATCATTCATCTGGCTAATGCCACTGAAACTAAGACTTAAATTCTCAAACTTCTGTAATTACTTGTCTGCATAGATGACCTTTTGGTTGCTATTGGAGTTAGCCTTACAAGTAGGCATGAAGTGACTCAAGGGGTCCGATTTGGGTGAGGCAAAAGTGGCCTCAGTGCCTGGCCAGAGTGCCTGAAGTTTCACCATCAAATGGTTCATGCTACTGAATCAAAAGCAAGTTTTCAGAGTACAAGAGTCCCGTAATAAAAAATATCCTCAGATGGATAGTAAAAGTAGGTATCTGGGAGCCCCAGGGTGAGCTTCTGCCTTCTCTGCACTCAGCCCCTCCTCCCCATTCCCAACCACTGGCAACTGGTACATGTGAGCTTCATGAGGTCCTGGCTCAGTCCTGGCCTGCTCTGGAGCCAGCCCAGAATGCTGGTATCCTTCACCTACCAGTAGGTAGGGTTTGGCAGTTCACTCACTCACTCACTCACTCACTCACTCGTTCACTGATTCATTCATCAAATATTGATTGAGCTACATGCTCAGGTGCCAGGCATTTGGCTAGACTCTGGAAATACTGGAGTGAACACATTCCTGCCCTCATGGAGCATACATTATGTAGGAGATAGACAGTAAATTCACCAATAGGTGTATCATGGGTTAGATGGTGATAAGTGCTGTGAAGAAAGTAAGGGGGCTGGAGAGTGGTGGGGATGGGGGAAGGTGTGTGTGATATTTCACATGGGCAGGCAGGGAAGTTCTCTTGGGTGAGGTGACAGCCAGGCAGAAGCTGTATGCGGTGAGCAAGCCAGTGAGCAACATAGGGAAGGCACCCCAAGCAGAGGGAGCAGTGGGGGCAAAGATCTGAGCGGGAGAACAGGTGGTGTATTGGAGGACCAGCGAGGGGTTCTGGGAGCTCAGGGGAAGCATGGTGAGGGTGGTCCATGAGGAAGTCAGAGAGGGTGGTGGGTAGGAGCAGGTACTCCTGATTCATAGTCTACATGCCTGGAAAGCTTGGAGTAAACTATGGATGATAGCCCCCCTCCCAGAGGGCCCAGGAGTTCAGTCTGGAGCCCCAGATTGCCTGGATGAGGCCCTGGAAACTGCTTGCCAGTTTCCTTGAGGAAATAACCCCCATCCCTCCCTCTGCATCCCTCTGCAACCTCCTATGGGGGCCTCCCTGGGCCTCTATAACCTTTACCTGGCCACCCCCGGCCCTCCACCCCTGACACCAGGGTTGGAGCAGGCCACCTTGCAGGTTGGTTCCCCTTAACCCCAGCCCTGCCCGGTCTTGTATCAGTGCCACCCCTTATGCTCCCAGCTAGTCCTCCCACCCCATTCCTGAGGTTGAGCCTGTTTGCATGCAATCACTGCAGGGGAGAGGAGCTATGAGAGGGCTTATTGGACGGACATGTGCCACCTCACACTTTTGGTCAGGGCCCACCCTGGGTAAGTCTCTCTTACCCTCTGGAAATTCACTGAGTGCTTGATATGTGCTAAGCACTGTGCTTTACATGTGTTGATATTTCCCAATGAATCAGCCTTACTAAATTTTATCTCTATTTTACAGATGGGAAAATGGAGGCTCTGAAAGGCTAAGTCATTTGCCCGTGGTCACATAA